CCTCTATCCACTCGTTTGTTGATGGGCACTTGGGTTGTTTCCAGCTCCTTGCTATTGTGAACAAAGCCGCAATAAACATGGGTGTGCAAGAGGAGGTTTGATTCTGAGATGTGTTCTGGCTGAAATGTACATGGCCTTTTAAAGTGGTGTTTGTTGAAGAACATCCATGCTGTGTAAGTCTCCTGAGGAAGTAGCACTTGGGTTGTTTAACGCTGGTTTCATATACTTGTCTCTATGGTCCGTAACTGGCATTTTTCAAACTGGAAGACCCGAAAAACAAACTGAAGCCTCAAGTGGCAATAGTGAGATGCTATGGGAACAATCTTGCATGATCCTGGGAGTGTCGAAAGAAGGTGGAGAGAATACATGAAGACACTGTATGAAAAAGAATTGGTCGACACGGGAGCATTTCAGGGAGTTCCATGTGAACAAAAGCTAATGGCTACACTGAGGACACTGGCTAAAAATTAAGGCCCCAGAAATCCATGGGATACCAAGTGACATGTTTCAACTGAGAGATGCAGCCCTGGACATGCTTGCTTACCAGACTGGCAGGAAGTTTGGAAGGCAGCTACCTGGCCAGCTGATTGGAAGAGATCTATATTTGTTCCAATTCCCTACAAAGATGATCCAATAGAACATGGAAATTATTGAATAATAGAATTAACATCACATGTAAGCAAAATATTCCTGAAGACCACCCAAAAATGGCCAGAACCGTGCCTTGATGATGAACTGTCAGAAGTTCAAACCGGGTTTAAACGTGAGGGCTATCACTGCTGATGTTAGATGGATCTTGGCTGAGAGCAGAGAAGACCAGAAGAATATCTGCTTGTGTTTTATTGACTGGGCAAAGGCATTAGCCACCAATGTGCAGTCATCCCTTGTTATGATCTGTGTGACGTGGCAAACACTGAGAAGAATGAGAATCCCGGAACACCCAATTATCCTCAGAGAAAACCTGTACCTAGGTCAAGAAGCTGTTGCCCAGACAACAGAGCAAGGGAACACCGCATGACTGAAAATCAAGAGACAAGTGCAGTACGGATGAATCCTTTGTCTCCATTTCTATTCAATTTGTATGGTAAACAAATAATTTGAGAAGCTGGACTTTTTAATTTTCATTCATTCATTGTTGTACACTTTCTTCCCTACATACTCCCTGTTCACTTTAAAAAAATTGGTAAATTTCATTTATTGTTGCATAATTTCCTCCCTCATCCCCCACCCTTCCCCAGCCCACTTTGCTGTGTACCTCTTAGTGCAGTCTGTTGTCATACGATTAATACCTGTTATCTATTCCTTTTAAACAGTTCTTTCCAATTATCTGTTCCAATGCAGTATTCATTATTTATCCCCTCTTTTCTTTCTTAGTCTTCCTCCAACTAACATATCAGTCCTTTTATAACAGAACTTGGACATTTTAAAGAAAAATGGACATTAGGATAGGAGGAAGACTCGTCAACAACTTGCATTATTCAGGTGATATAACCCTTGCTTGTAGAAAGTGAAGAGGACTTGAAAGCTTGCTGCAGAAGATCAAAGACTACAACCTTGAACTACAGCTCAACATCAAGAAAACAGAAATTCTCACCACTATAGACAGCATTATGATAGAGAGAAAAGAGAATTGAAATTGTCAAAGACTTCATTTTACATGGATCCAAAGTCAACGCCTGGGGAACCAGCAGTCAGGAGATCAGGAGTTGGATTGTATTGTGCAAGTCTGCTGTCAGGGAGTTCTCCAAAGTACTGAGGAGCAATGATGTCATTGTAAAAACTAAGGTGCACTTGATTCAGGTCGTGATCTTTCACGTGGTACGCATCTGAGATCTGGGCAATGACTACAGATGACAGAAGAAGAATCAATGCCTTTGAGTTGTGGTGTTGAAGAAGAGTACTGAATATCTCGTGGGCGGCCAAAAGAACAAGTAGATATGCCTTGGAGAAGGTGCAGCCAGAGTGCTCCTTCAAGGCAAAGATGACAAAGGCTCGTCTGACACACTTCAGGTATGTTGTTAGGAGAGGAAAGGTGGAGGGAGGATTATCGGAAGAAAGGAAGACACTCAACGAGACAGATTGACACAGTGACTGGAGCAACGGACTCAAGTGTGTCAGAGATGATGAGGACAGCCCAGGACAGGACAGGGCTCAGATCTGTCATTCCCAGGGTCTCAATGAGTCGTGCTTAACTCGATGGTATCGAACAACCACAGCAACGTGCTCGACGCCGTCAGCTCTGGTGACGTGGTCCACAGGGAGCTGTCTGCTAAGGCAATGCCTCTCTGCTAAGTGAATCCACCGGTGACTCCAAAGGAGAAAAATGAGCATTCTCCTGCCATGCAATTTACTGCCTCCCAAACTCTGGGGTGTCAGCTATGAGTCGGTTCCAACACAATGGCAGAAGATGAGGACATGCATGGGGACTGAAATTTAATGCCCAGTCATACCTAGTATATATTATGTAATAGTAAGTGCAAGCTGTGGATAGTGGGGAAATAAGAATATTTGGGAGATAGTTCGACGAGAATACCAGCTTGAGATGTTAAGATGGAGCAAGCATGCTTCCTGCTGTCCTGGGGAGAAATAGTTTCTGTCTGTTGTTTACAAGACCATGATACCATGGGAGAACTCATCTTAAGACCTTATTTTCCACTTCACCAAAGAAGACATTCAGATGGCCAACAAGCACATGAAGAAATGTTCATAATCCCTAATTCTAAGAGAGATGCAAATCAAAACAGCTATGAGATACCATCTCACCCCAGGCAGAATAGCAAAATTTAACAGAACAGCAAGCAACAAATGCTGGCGAGGTTGTGGAGAAACTGGAACCCTTATTCACTGTTGGTTGGAGTGTAAAATGGTGCAACCACTGTGGAAGGCGGTGTGGTGCTTTCTCAAAAAGCTGCAAATAGAGATACCATTTGACCCAGCAATTCCACTACTGGGAATATATCCCAAAGTGACCATAACTGACATCCAAGCAGATATATGCACACCCATGTTTATCGCGGCTCTGTTCACAATAGCAAGGAGCTGGCAACAACCCAAGTGCCCATCAACAAATGAATGGATAGAGAAGCTGTGGTCTATTCACACAATGGAATACTATGCTGCATTGAAAAACAAGGAACTCATGAAATATTATTCAAAATGTGTCACTCTGGAGGACATTATGCTAAGACCTTATTTTCAATTATGTTAGTGGTGTTGTTGTTGTGTACTGTTGAGCCAGAACTGACCCACAGCTGACTCTCCAGTGGGTTTTCAGAGACAGTTAACCTCACAGGAGGAGACTGCCCATCATTCTCCCGCGGAGCAGCTGGTGGGATTCGAACCACATGCCTTCAGGATTGCAAAGCAGCTTCTTGCTACTAAGCCACCAGAGTTCCCTACGTTAGTGATGTTGTTGTTAAGTGTTGTCGAGTTGTAGGTGACTCACAGCGACCCTGTGAACGCACGACCTGAACGCTTGTATAACTTTCGTCCTTTCTCCAGGTTCATAGGGTTCCAGAGGCAAGCTATTGTGGAAGTGGATGCCACTCCCGCTTCCAAGCTTGTTTGAATCGGGGAGCTCCACCAAACACTGTCCGCCATGGGTAACGATTATAGCATTTGACACATGAGATCTAAGAATTGCTACCTTTGAATAGTGGGTCTGGCTAAGAATACTGAATATATTACAAGCTGCTAAAGAAACAAACTCATCTTGGAAGATGTGAAGTCGAGCACTCCTGAGAAGCAAGGTCGGACTTCGAGCATGTTCTCAGGAGGGGTGAGTCCCTGGAGAAGGACTTCATGCTTGGAACAGTAAAGGGTCCGTGAAAGGGACAGACTCTCAGGCAGATAGACTGACATTGGCGACTACAAGCCCGGGGCTAAGCGCACTGGAGATTGTGAGGAGAGCACAGGATCGGGAGGGCTTTGTTCCGTGGTCCATGGGGTTCGAGGGGTTGGAACGGACTCAATGGCTCCGAAGACGACAGGCATGAGAACGATCACAAGGACAAAGCATGAAACACCGGCTGGCAGCTCACTGGCAAGAGGGAGGGAGGGAGGGAGGGATGGATGGATGGATGGATGGATGGATGGATGGATGGATGTCCCACCTGCTGTCTGCTGGGTCATGTGAATATAAATAGATCTACAACCAAGATTCAGGGTAAACCCTGGCTGAGTAGTTGGGAGTCAGGCTCCACTGCTTGGTTGCACGGAAGAAAGGGATGAGGAGAGAGCAGACGGGAGCCATGACAACACAAGTGTCTCGAGAATTGAGTGGAAATTGTGTAGGCAAATAGGAAATACCATACGACTTAAATATGGGAGGAAGTGTTAGAAAATGGTGAGAATGTAGCTGTCAAGGTCTCTAAAAATGTCTAAAGTAAAGAAAACAGGGAGTAAGACTACCCCAAAGCTCATGTTCAAAGCCCTGGAGTTTCTGATTCTAAAAAAGAACAGCCAGTTTCACGAACAGAGAAAGCCCCATATTAGGAGGCTAGCCAAAGGGGGGCCTAGCAGCCACGTAGGCTGCCCTTTGGGGTTTCCTGACCTCCCTCCTATCAGGCATCCTTAATATATTGTCAGATGCCCACAGGAGCTCTGACTCGGAGCAGCAGGACAAAAGATGGAAACCTGTGCGCTCCCAAGCCACCCTCCATCTCTGCGTGCTAAGCCCACTGTCCCGTTGGAGCCAGGAGACTGCCCCACTTCCGCCCCGTCCTCTCTCTTGTCCGCTTCTCCAGCATGTGGGAGGTAGTGCCCTAAAGTGACCCCTCACCCCATCTTTCCCAGCCCCCCTGCCCCGCTTATGGGTTTATAGAGCCCTTACACCAAGGTCCAGTGAGAGGGAACCTGTCCGAGTGCCTGTGTCCACAGTGGCCAGGGTGGGATCGGCCACACACTCAGGCCTTCCGGGACTACCCTTTTCTAACAGGTGAGATGGGTGGTGGGCAGCCCCTGTAAGCCCAGCTCCAGACACACATCGCTTTTGTTTTCAGGACATAACAGCTGTATCCCTCTTTTCGACCCCCTGACCAATGAGAGCCTGGACATGTCCACTTCTGTGCAGCACCTCATCTGTGAGTTCTGGGGCCACCTCCCGCCTTCCTTCAGCGAGGGCCGGCTGGATGCACAGCCTCCTGCCAGCTACCCACACAGCCCTCAGCTGACCCCGAGTCCCAGGCTGCACACCCAGCCATGGACTCTGGAACAAGGGGCTGCCTTCCGGCCGTCTGTCCTTCTGTGTACCTCATTTCCTTCTCCACAGCCACAATCCCCCTGATTGTTGTGGGAGGGTGGGATGGGATATGGTCCAGGGGCAGCTAGGCCTTGATTGGGTCTCAGCAAATATCCGTCTCTGTGCAAATGGGCAGCTAGCCTACCTGACAGATCTCTCACCCCCAGCTGGGACTTGGGGAAGGTGCTGGGGAGACAGCCAATGGAGGTTGTCCTGCAAGCTGGGGTTACTATGGAAACAGGGCGCGGAGGGTCGGCAGATGGTCTGCCTGTCTTGTCTCCAGGGTGCTCAGGGCTCTGATCTTGAGGTCCCTGGGGAGGGCAGACCCTACCCCTCCAGCTCTCAGGGGGAGGGGCGCTCCCTGCTCGATCCCCTCCCATCCCCCCACCGATTATCTCAGGTCTCCAGAGAGGTCAGGCCCTTGCTCCCTTGCCCCTCCCTGTCCACCTTGTATTCCAAGCACTGACCTCTCTCTGGCCCCTGGGCTGCCTCCTGCCCCTTTGTGCTGACCCTTCTTCACCTCCCTGGGGAGGGATGTCCTCTGTCCCCCCTTGCTGACCCTTCTCCCTTTAGGAAGAGCTGCCTCCCACTTGTTGACCCCTCTCCTTTTTCCGGGGAGGACCACCCTCTTGCTGACCCCTCTCCCCTCTCTGGGGAGGGCCACCCCCTTGCTGACTCCCTCCCCTCCCCAAGGAGGGCTCTCCCTTGCTGGCCTGTCTCTGGGGAGGCCCCCCCCCTCGCTGACCCTCTCCCCTCCTCGGGGAGGGCTCTCCCTTGCTGGCCTGTCTCTGGGGAGGCCCCCCCCCTCGCTGACCCTCTCCCCTCCTCGGGGAGGGCTCTCCCTTGCTGGCCTGTCTCTGGGGAGGCCCACCCCCTCGCTGACCCTCTCCCCTCCTCGGGGAGCCCCCCACAGCGCTGCACCGGGCTGTCATGATCGTACTGCCCCTGAGCCTGGTCCTCATCGTGTGCGGCTGGGTGTGCGGCCTGCTCAGCTCGCTGGCCCACAGCGTCCCTCTGCTGCTCTTCACCGGCTGCTTCTTCCTGCTGGGGGGTGAGTCAGCTCAGGGACGGGTGCTGCCCACCTCACTACCTGCTGCCTGCTGCTCCCCAGCCTGCCCTGGGCCCTCCCTGGACGCTGGGGACTTCCGGGGGGTGGAGGCCCTGGACCGAGCCGCTGGGTGTGGGCCAGAAGGGTGGCTGTGCTGGGACCTGGGCCCAGGGGCCTGGGGGAGAGCAATGCCCCGGGGGAGGGCAGGGCTGGGCTTTCTGACTGGTCAGTAGGGCCACTGAGAACTGCCACACAACGTCCATCTGACAGCAGTGGAGGGATCAGTCTCCGCAGGACCCTTACACAGAGCTGTGCCGGCGGAGGGGACAGTGAGGCCCAAGAACCACTGCGGTCAGGATACTGTCCTGGGGTCTGCCTCTCTATCCCCTGCCACTGCCTGCCCTGGCCCCCAACTGCCCTCAGCTCGCTGTGGTCAAAGGTGGACTGGCAGCCTTGGGATGCTGCAGGTCAGACCTTGTGACCCACATCAGAGGACACACCTCCTACACAGTTCAGGCCCTACTGTGGCTCTCGCTCTGCCCTCAGGGGACACAGACCCTTTGGGGTACTTTGTAAGGGCTGAGAGTCAGGGGCAGCCATGGGTGCTGGTGCTGGCCACAGGATACTGGACAGAGCTGAGGACATGTCCTCAAGAGAGTGGGGTCAGCGTGGCTCCGTGGGTCATCATCAGTGCCCACGTCTGATGAGGAGAACCCCGGGGACCTTGAGGAATGACTCACCTAGGATTATAGGCTCTGAGAATTGGTGTGGGGGTGTCCGAGGGCCAGCCACCCTCAGTCCCCCACGGGGCCCTGCTGCCCCTCGTTCTCACTGCCTGCACCCGGCAGCTGACAGCATGTCCCATGGCTTTCAGGGGCCAGCACAGACACCAGGGTCCAGCCTGAGCAGATACCCTGGATAGGAGTGTCCTGCCAGGGACCGCCTCCTTCAGCCCTTAGTCAGGAGAAAGGAAGGGGGTCAGAAGGACGAGGGCACCATATGAGCTCTTTTGTCTCTGCAGCTGAGGGGACGGACAACCTTTGGGAGATCTAGGGGAGATGTGGGAGGGTGTCCCCCTGGGCCACCTGGGCCATGTGGAGTAAGCAGAGACTAGGGCGAGGTGGGAAGGGCCACTCACCTGAGCGGCTGGGCTGTGGGCGCTGAGTGATGTCCTGGCTTGACCAAGCTCCGTGGAGACACTGGAGTCTGTGAAATTCTTGGCTGGAGGGGCGAGTGTATGGGGCTGCTCTCTTAGCCGTGGCCCCAGGTTCCTGGCCTCCTACTTACAGGCCCTCTGAGACCTCCTCTCCCAGGAAGCCCGAGGGGGCCAGCTAGCCCAGTGCTGGGTGCCAGCCCTCACCCCTAAATCAGAACCCAGCCTCCTGGCTCTGGCTTCATGTCCTTCTGCAAATGAATCCCCCCCCAAACCTGAGTGTCTGCTGGGAGTTCATGTGCAGCGGAGCTTTGAGGACAGATTTCTCAAGGCCAGGCCTCAGAGCTGACCACTGTTAGTTCCTGTCCCGGGAAGGTGGTACAGGAGACCCCAGGCTGAGCGCCAGTGGAGCTAACCCGGGGAAGGGAGTGAGAGCCTGGGCGGGCCAGGTGGGGATGGCTCCCACAGGCGTGGTCCTCCGGCCTCCCTCCACAGGTGCGCTGACCCTGGCCGGCGTCAGCATCTACATCAGCTACTCGCACTTGGCCTTCGCAGAGACAGCCCGGCAATACGGGGCCCGGCACGTGCAGGTGGTACACATCAGCTTCGGCTGGTCCTCGGCACTGGCCTGGGGCTCTTGTGTGGCCGAGGCGCTCAGCGGGGCCCTGCTGCTGGCAGCTGCCCACACGCTGAGCCTGAGCCGGCGGCCCGGCGCCCCCCACTCCGTGGTCATCTGAGTCGGAGGCCAGTGGGAGGGTGAGAGAGAGTGACCATGCATGGTGGCTTCAGGGGTCAGCGGCCAGAGCCCCAGGCTGGGGCGCCTCCCTGTCATTCATCTATTGTCCTGGCTGGGAAGGGGGTCTGGGTGGGTGGGAAGCCAGTGTCTGGGCAGCCAGGCCTTTCAAGCCTAACAAAGCCAGGTGTCTGGTGTCCCCCCAACCCCACTTATGCCCTCTGGGGGCTGACCAACTGCCCATACAGACAAGCCTCTGAGGACACAGGATTGTTGGCTTGGAGTCAGGAGGGGGGTGCTGCAGGCTCCTGGTGTTTGCTGGGTCAGTGTGGCAGATGCCCCCCACGGGTCCTGGAGGGGGCTGGAACAGGAGGGAGGGACCCCTGTGGAGGGCAGTGGGTGTCACTGAGTGCTGGGCGTTCATCCACTCACCTGGTCCCTGACAATCTGCATGACAGCCACCATTCACCTGCTTTAGGAAGAGGGAGACTGAGCCCGGCACGGAGAGGGCCACTCAGGAGCCACTGTCTGTTCATCTAGAAAGGACAGGGGGAGCCTGGAATCCTTGGTTTAAAGGACCCCTGCTGTCACAGTGGTTAAAGCATTGAGTGCTGTCAGGTCAGTGGTTCGAGGCCACCAGCTGTCCCACGGGAGGCAGACGCAGCAGCACACAGGGGTGGCAGCCTCGGGAGCCCTCTGGGGTAGCTCTCCCCTGTCCGTCAGGGAGTCGGGAGCTGGAACCCACAGAGAAGTGAGCTGTGCTGGTTTCAGCCGGGCGCCTCGGACAGTACTGCGCCCCCCACCCACTGTGGCTCCCATGGAATTTCTGTGGTCACTGAACCACCCTGTGGAAGGGGAAGGGCATGATGTAGGGGTACCATCTGCCTGCTTGTGGGGGGGCCAAGTGAGGGCCTGGAATATCAGAGGCGGAGACAAGGCCAGCACAACTACCCTGGATGGACCTGTGAGCCCCAGGCCGAGTGGACGCAGGCAGCCAGGCCCGCAGGGTGAGGTGGCACCAGGGAGGTCTGAGGGGCACCAGGCACTGGAGACTCTGTTCTAGGGGGTCGGCCTGAGTCTGGGAGGCGTGCTTCCCTCCCATGTCCCTCTAAGGCTATGGGGGGCTTTCTGGGTCAGGGGGAGGGCACCAGCACTGCTGGGGGCTGAGGGGTCCTCTCTCCCTCCTGTGTTCTAACATTTTCCATTCCATAAAGGAACCACTGAGCCAATTTGTCCAATAAATTCAACATATGCTGTGTGTGATGTCAGCCCTTTTTTACCCTCTTAAACATTTGTCAGAATAGTTGCCACGTGCCCGTGCTGGACAGCGTGGAGGCAGATGGGCCAGCTCTGCACACATGCACGCGTGATGGGTGTGTTCACGGATGTGTGTTCACGTGCGCATAGGTGGGTCTGTATGTGCATATGTGTGCGTGTGTCTGAGCGGGGTGTGAGCAGAGTGTGCACAGGTGTGTTGATCCTCTGGGACATTCTAGGAAGGGTGGTATGCCTGCCCATCTCTTTCTGGTCCAGCGTAGCTGTGGGGCCCTGAGCTCCCCGTTGTTTCCAGGGGCAACTTCACGGGCAGGTCCTTTTGTCAGTGAAGAAAGGCTCTGGGGCCTCCGGAGGCCTGTAACGTGGACTTCTCCCCCGCCTTGGCCCATGCTGGTGAGATACATGGAGGCCTCCTGGGCTGACTTTGAGGGTAGGACACTAGAATGAGCATCAGGGATCTGCCCTCACGTCGATTCTGACTCCTGGGGACCCTCCTTGTGGTTGTGGTTGTATTGGGGGTGTGCCTCTGAGTTGGAACCGACCCATAGCTGACATCCCAGCGGGTTTTCACAGGCAGCAAATCATATAGGAGGAGAGTGCCCATTCTTCTTCCTTGCAGTAGCTGGTGGATTCAAACCAGGTGCCTCTGGTATTGCTGCTCCCTAGTGCAGGGCATGCTAGGCCTCCAGCACTCCCTCCAAGTGGTTGAGGCTGTATGTCCGTCCTTATCGGAGACTGCCTGCCTCTCCTCTGCAGAGCAGTTGGTAGACCTGCTGACAGACCTGGTCAACAGCCCGCAGAACCCCAGGGGGCTGCGTGGAGCCCCTCCGTAGGAGGCATGTTGTGCTTGACCCCTCCTTTCTAGACACTGTTCAAACCCTGAGCTACCTCTCCAGGGACCCTTGTCAGGAGGGGTCAGTACTGAGCTGAAAAGTCACAGCCCCGCAGGGCTGCCTGCAGCTGATGGCGTGAAGCAGAGGAACAGAAAGGCAGGGCCCAAAGGAGGGGAGGCCCTCCGCCCACCCCACTGCAGTACCTCTCTGTCCTTGGATGTCCCTAAGATTGCACGTCTTGTCCTCAGGCGCCCGTCTCCGACTTACAGCGGCACGGGTTCTGTTCATCACAGCCAGATAAGCCCTGATGAGGGTGCTGCACCCCACACTTACAATGTCCTTCCGCCTCTGCTCCCCCAAATCCTTCCTTCAGTGATAGTCTGGCCACACCTTGTCCTCTCTCCTCCCAGCCCCTTTCGACAGGACTCCTCTAGTAACTTGCCCTCTGGTCAGTAGGAGACTTCGGCTCTTGTGCTCTGGACCTGCTCTTGGTCAGGACAGCTTTTCAAATGTGGTTGTGGGGCCCTTGACCTTCCGCCTTATGTTTTAGGCCAGTGTTAGAAAATTCTGAGTCCTGACAATTCTGGCGTCTCCCCTCTGTTCCCGTGCAGCTGGGTGAAGACTCCTAGCTCTGGGCACAGCAGTCCCTGGTCAGCTGTGTCTCACAGGGGGTCTCTGCTGTTCTTGTGTAGGTTCCAGTCAGCCTGGGGCAGAAATCTCTCCTCGAATCGCGTGTAGTACATTTTCTTCTGTGTCTTCAGTGCTGTAGTTACGTAGTGACAGTCACACTTATGCTGCTAAACTAACTCAATTTTAAACTTGGTGGAATGGGGGAAATGGACCAATCCCATTACGATTAGTTTCTACATGTCCTAGTTCAGGTTCCCACCCAGTTGAGTGGAGCTTGGGTGGCCTAGTGGTAAGATGCTGTGCTCTGGTCCTGAAGATACACGGTTTGAATCCACCATCTGCTGTGTGTGAGAAAGATGGGCAGTCTCCTCCCACGTGACTTACTGCCTCTGAAAACCCACTGGAGGGTCTGCTGTGGGTCATTTCTGACTCCACGGTACACAACATCAGCCCAGCTGTGGTGAACGTGAAAGCCATTGGTTACCATGATTGTTGTCATTGTTTGAAAGAAATACAAGTAGTTCCCTTTTCTTCTTACTAGTTTTGTTTTAATCAGAAGCTCCACCAAACACTGTCTTTTGATTAGCAACTGAATTCTTTTAATGACTACACCACCAGGACTCTGGATCTTAGGAGAGGTCGTCTTCTCTCTCTTTTTTTAATATTTTATTATTTTTTCTGTGTGTACCACCAAATTGGACCTGACTGGTCCAGGAGGAAATTGTCCCTCCTTCTCCAGCAGAGCATCTGGTGGATTCGAACTGCGTGTCTTTGGGATTGCAGTGCAGCTTCTTGCCACTAGGCCACCAGAGCTCCCTAGGAGAGGTCTTAAGCACTGAGTGTGCCTCAATTACAAGAGATACTAAAAAGTGAGGTCAAGTTCAAAATTACCTACAATAAAATACAGCTTGCTTTATAACCAGGAAACATTATTTTTAAGATATAGATAGATAGATAGATAGATAGATAGATAGATGATAGATAGATAGATAGATATACATATATATAGAGAGAGAGATAGATATATATAGATATATATATGTGTGTGTATATATATATATATATATATATATATATTAGATCAAATCCACACCCTCTTATCTCAGCAGGTACAGCTCTTTGCCATCAAATCCCCATGTCCTTTTTGAACTTCCTCTCCCTCCCTCGTGGGAGCTCTGAGCAGCCTGGGGTCTGAGCAGCTGCAGTCAGCTTCCTCCGTGCAGGAGTGAGGGGTCTGCCCCAGCTGCCTCCTAGGCTTGGGGTAGGAAGCCCAGCTGGTGTCCTACTTGTCCCAGCGCCCTTGGGCATTCTCTGATTTGTTGATGCCCAGTGGAGCGCTGCAGGGCGAGGCATTGGTGCAGGGGAACCTGACCGTGTTTGGAAATGGGGTCTTTGCTGAGAATGAGCTCATCCTGCAGTAGAGGGGATCCTAATCTGATGTGAGGGATGTCAGACGAAGGAGAAGAGACAGAGGGAAGAGGAAGCGGTGCTGGAAGGAGAGAGCAGAACAATGCAGAGACAAGCCAGGCACCACCCAGGAATGCAGCCACCACCTGAAGGTGAAGCTGGGGAGAAGCAGGTCTCCCCTCCGAAGGGGACAGTGGGGTTCACACCCTGATCTCGGGCCTCTGGGCCCCAGGGCTGTGAGAATGAGTTTGTTGTGAGGATCTCAGAACTTGCACTTTCCTTTATACGCTCAGGGGTTTTGTTGGTGATTGTTGAGTCGGATTCTTGATGACCCTGTGTGACAAGCTTCACAGGGAGCTCAAAGCTGTGACTTTTTCTTTTTAAAGTTGGGTCTTCATTTTATTTTTTTTTAATAAATTTTTAATTTTAATTGTCATTTTAACAAAAGTTTACAGAAAATTTATATTTTCATTCATTCATTATTGCACATTTTACCCCCTCTCCATCCCTTCCCCCTCCCAAAGCTGACTTTTTTTCGCTAGTTTATTTAAAAGCTGTGACTTTTTTTTTTCAGGGGTTTCATGGACACTCTTTATTTTTTTTTCTATAATTATATTTTATTAATTTTCATAAACATTTACAGAGATTTTGGGCTTCCACTCATTCATTGTTGCACTATTCTCTCTACCCTCCTCCCAGTTTGTTCTTGTCCAAATGCCACAGTGCTTGTCAAAGCCAGTTCTGATTAATCTTCTTTGTCAGTGTGTCCTTTGCCATTCCCTATCACTCCTCCCTGAGAGAGACTTCACCCTGAGTCATAAGGAAAAGGGGACGGCGTATTCTCTTAGCTACTTCCTGCTGAAAAGGGACGCTCATGGACACTCTTTAATTTGATCCTCTTTTTTTTAAATAATTTTAATGAACATTTACAGAGAATTTGGATTTCCATTCGAAAAGCTGTGACTTTTAAGAAACAGATTGCCAGGCCTTTCTCCCAAGGCACTGCTGGGTGGACTCAGCTAGCAATCTCACACTTAACTGTTTCTGAAACTTGGAGTCTCACTGCTATTCCCAGCAACTCACAACTGACCTTCTAGGGGTGTATTGGAAGCTGGAAACTGCAGGGGAGGAGATTGTCCACGTGTCCTCTGAAGAGTGGCTAACGGACTCCAACCTCCCAGAGAGGTGTCACCTTGCCATTAGCAGCCTGATTCCTTAGGAGGATGGCACCAGCACTCCCTTCTGAAGCTCAGAGAAGGAATTTCATTTCCGCTGTGAAGCCCACCCCTTGGGGTGCACCTAACACAGCAGCCCTGGGAGGCAGACCCCTGATACCAGTGTGTCCCCCACTCCCACCCCTGTCAGCTCATTGCTTCTCCCTTGGACACTTCCACGCCCCTCCCATCCCAAACTGGGCGTAGTGTCCCTGACTACCCCTTCCTCAGGGCTGCAGCTGCCTCAGCGAGAACTCCCACTTCTCAGAGCAGAGATGTCGTGATGTCACCTCTGCCCAGGGAACAGCTGCACATAGACCACGCGACCCAGCTGTGCTTCCTCTTCGGTGCTTTTTGCCTGCAGGTGCCACACGGGTCCTCTGGCGGCAGTCCCACACCATCACCCTGTTAGTCTCCACGGAGCAGATGGGGGAGGCGAGATCCTGGAGCCCTGCGGCGGGTCCAGCAGTGAGTGGAGCCCAATGGGACCACCAGGCCCCTGCTACCCAGCCTGGCCCCCAGGGCCTCCGGAGTCAGGGCTCTGCCATCCCTCAGCCCTGTGACCTTGAGGTCATCAGGAGTTATCCTGAGGTGGTTATAACTACTCAAGGTAGAGACTGGGGTTCACTGGACACCTCCGCCACCCTCCTGGGGCTCTGAAGGCCCTGAGCTGCCACCCCTCCAAGGCCCTCCCCAGACCCTGGTCAGAGGCAGCTGCGGCAGGGGGTGGGCCCACCTCTGGGACTTCCGGTGGTCCTGTATCAGTGTCATCTTCTCACCTGTGAGGCCCACCCCTGCCTGGTGCTTTCCTCGGCCCATCGCTTTCCAGAGGCGAAAGGCTTCCTGGATAAAGTCCCTGGAGGCCCCAACCAGGGCTCCCACGGGAGACCCCCGCCCTTGGGAGGAAGGGATGGCAGGCCTGCTACCTGCTGGGTGGTATCCCACCTAGGGGCAAGTGGGGTGGGGTGGGGTGGGGCACTGATGCAGGTGGGAGGCGTCCAGACGAGTGGGGCGGGCGGGGCCAGGTGAGTGGCAGGAGGGGCCAGGTGAGTGGCAGCCAGTGTGGAGCTCAGAGTGCTCCGGCCCCCACCCCCATCCCAGCAGTGTTCCAGGTGGTGTCCAAAAGCTCCTCACCTTGGAGAAACAGAGGGAGACTGAGTCACAGAACTCCACAATGCGGGGGGCACGCCCAGGGCCACCACTGCGTTCGTAGGTGGATTCAGACCCCATGGTTCCTGGCCCGCTGTGACCCTCTGTTACCAGGAGCAGTGCCTCAGTGCTGCCCCCGTGGAATGGGGTGAGGAGAGCTCGAACATGTGGGTGAAGCCTGAAGGGGGTGTCTGCGGTTAGATGTGGAGGCCTGCCCAGATTTTCTGTGGCAGAGTCCCCACCATACATGCAGGTGGAGAGGATGCATGAGAGGTGTCTGGAACATGGAACACCTCACCCGGGCTTGTTCTGAACAGCCATATCTGAAGCATGTTGGGGTGACCGTGCGGTATGTTGGGGTGACCATGTGGTGTGTTGGGGTGACCATGTGATGTGTTGGGGTGACCTTATAGTGTGTTGGAACGACCCTGTATCATATTGGGATGAGCCCATATCATGTGGGGTGGCCATATGCATGTTAGGGTGTGGGTAACCCTTGTGGGTGCTCTGGGACTCAGCTCCCTGGGGGTGAGGTGTCTGCACCCTGAGAGGTGAGTAGGGACACGTGCATTTGCTAGAATAGAGCTGTGTCGTCACAGAGCTGTCTTGCTGTAATCTAGGCAAGCAAGTAGCCAGGTCTTTCTTCCACGGTGTTACTGAGAGGGTTCAAACCAACTATCTTTAGGTTAGAAGTTAAGTACGAACCACTTGCCCACCTATGACCTAAAACAGGGGCCAAGAGTACATAGGCGTCCCTCCAGAGTATACCAGATGGAGACTCGGGGGTCAGGAGGCCAGGAGCTGGCTGTGGGGAGGAGAGGGAACAGTGGAGGAGCCAGGCTTACCTGGCGCAGGTCACCGAAGGGTGGAAGTATTCTCCAGGCAAATGAGTTCACAGACTGGGTGGGAGGGGCTCCCTCTGCCCTGCTTGACCAGCCTTTCCAGCTCCTCCAGGTGCAGGGGGCCATGGGGCAGGTCTAGGAGGATGTGGGAGTGCACCCCAGCAATCCTCCAAAATGGAGGAGGAGGAAGGGAGGGCCCAGGCCCAGTGTTGGGGTACCTTTGGAGTAATTCAGCCCCCTGAGGGTAAATGCTAGGGTCTTGTGGTTGCTCCCTGGGCCGCGTACATTTGCCTAGTAGTGAACCAGTGTTGGGGCTCAGGTGTCCCAGTTAGAGAGGCACCAGGAGGCGCTGTCCCTTCACCTCCACGGTCTCATGTGAGGTTTACGGGCCAGCTCCCACCAAGGCACCACTAGGGGGCAGCCGGAGCCCAGGTCAGTCCCTGCAGTGGGATTCCCAGGTCCAGCCTGAACCCCTGCTGTCTCCTGGTGGCCAGTCTGGTTACCAGCTCTCCTTCCACCAAAGGGTAGTGGTGGAGGCCATCAGCCTGTTGATCCCTAGGGCTCTCCCTTCCTCCCTCTGCAGGTGCCAATCCGAGGGCCGCAGGTGAGGGTACCTGGTCCCTACCTGAGCCACCACCCCCACCCTGCTCCTAGACATGGAGGTGGCACTCTGGCCCAAGGAGGAGCTGGGAGTCCCTGTGACCGAAGTGACCCATCACCGAGACAGATGGGAGAGGACATGTCTTAGCACCAAGTCTGAGTGAGGCCCACTTGCCCCCCCCCCCCACCTGGGCTCTGCTGGGCTGAGCACCTGGGCCACAGTGCTGCCAGGGCTGGATGACAGGAAACAGTGCTGCTTCCGGACAGTTGAGAAAACTGTCACACTGACAGCTCAAAAGGAGTCCCTGGATGTTAAAGCACTCATCCACTAACCAAAAGGTCGGATGCTCAAGTCCTCCCCCACTTCCCTGAGCCACTTCAGGAGAAAGGCTGGGTTCTCCTGACAAACTCTACGGAGCACAGTCCTATTCTGACACACGTACAGCCTCGCCAGGAGTCAGAATCAACTTGGCTAAAACTGGAACTAGCCAAAATAAGGGAGCTCTGGTAGCTTGGAGGTAAGGAATTGCACTGTCAACACAAAGGCATGCTGTTCAAACCCACCAGCCACTCCATGGGGGAGATGGGCAGTCTTCTCTGAAGATCTGCAGGAGGGTCAGCTATAGGTTGATTCTGATCCGATGGTACGTAACAATAACACCCACAATAACAGCAGTCACGACCTTGTGACCCTGACAGGCCACACAGCCTGCGCAGGAAGCATCTCCTGCCTTGGATGGCAGCCAACACACAGGGCACCTACCTCATCAGCCCCCCAGGAGAAAGTGGTTCCCCAAGACTGGAAAACCAGAGGAGGGTTTAGTAAAGAGGGAATTTACCAGACATGGCAATGCAGAGGGATCTCCTGGGGACAGTGAGAACCCCTGTGGCTCCAGGACAGTGTGGGGAGGGTGAGACAGGTAACAGGACCGCCCTCCCTTCTCTGCTAGGGAGCCCCACAGCCGCTCAGCAGAGCTCCAGGGAATTGGGGCCCTGCTGTGAGGGGAGGAACACGGGGGCAGAGGTCATGTCACTCACCACAGCTGAGGTTGGTTGGCACAAATAGGGTCAGCTCCACTCCAAACAGCCCCGCAGCCTCTGCCTGCAGCTCTGGGGAAGGAGGGGTGTTGAGGCTCAGTTAACCCTGCCAGGTACCCATCCACCTGTTCCAGTACTTTCCACAATGCTTTCCTTCTTGGTGACCAGACTGCTGGAGTGAGATCCTCCCTGGCCAAACCTGGGTCTCATTAAGGCATATCCCAGGCAGAAGCCCTCTGTCAGCCGTCAGTGCCCCACCTCCACCTGGGCCTCGGTCTCCCCCCCCACTGAAACTCTTGTGGTCTGCACCCCCACACCCAGCCAGGCACACCTGTCGGCTTCCTTTCCCATCAGCCATTGGCAGGTGGGGCCCTGTGGTTTGACTGCTGATTTCCTCCTCTAGGGGAGGCAGCCCCAAGGAAGGGGTGGGGACCCCTAAGAAGGGGAGACTGAGGAGCTGGGGGGGCAGGTGGGCTTGGAGAGGGCGGGGCCACTTTGCTTCTGTCTGCCCCACCCAGATGGGACTTGTTTTCGAGTTTAGCTGCAGCACACCCCGCCCCTGGGGACTCCAGGTAATTATGGGGACAGGCTGTGGGGCACAGGTAGGGACCCTGTGGCTTGTCCCCGGGTGTGAGGGCTGGATATGCCTTAGTAAACGCAACAGCTCCAGAGGGCCCTTCCTTCCTATAAGGCTCCCCTTCCTCGGGGAGTTTCCATTAGAAGGCAGGAAGTCTGAAGCGCTGTGGGTTCAAACTCTGAAGTTGCTATTTTGTGAGTATGGGTCTAGGGGGGAGCGCCTTAGCATCCCAGCCTCCTCTGTAAGGCAGGATGGGGGGCATTTCCATGTGCACACAAGCGGCCCCTAATCCCGGTAAAATGCAGATTCTGGCCCTGTGTGGGGCCCGGGAACCTGCATTCTAGGAGCACTGCGAGCTGCTCGCCCAGTGCTAGCGGGGTTCTGCACCTGGGCATCTCCCGCGGGCACCACGGACAGCGCTCTGGGGTCGCCAGGACGACCTCTGCCCTCAGCCTCCACACCGGGGCTGGCTGTGGATGATGGGGTCCTCGCCGTAGTCATCATCCTCCCACGACTGCTTGGCCGTGGTGCGCCTCACGGCTGGTCCGGGCCCGGTCACTGTGTCACTGCAGGTCCACACGTGGGCCGGGACCCCTGCCTGGCCCAGAGACCCCCACACCCAGGAGCCCCTGAGCCTTTGGGCCGCATCCCGGGGGAGCATGATGTGCAGCCCTCTGACCCCTCTGACCCCGGTGGAGGCTGCGGACCCTCCTTACCCGGGGCGCAGGAAACACGGACAGCGCTGGCCTTCCCAACCCAGGTACCCCCAGAAAGAAGCTGCAGGACAGCCCCACAGGATGCTGGGAGTTGTAGTCTAGACTTGGTCCTGAGTGGGAAGGCCCCAGAGGATGCTGGAGATGATGGATCCAGAAAGTAATGGAAGGGAAACTGAGGCAGGAGCCGGGGAGGGGGAGGGGGAGTGAGGACACCCTTTAAAACTACAGAACGTGCACCAGGCATTTTAACCGTGTTAAGTCCATTAAGCACCGGGAGAACCCTACTATGTTTTTACTTTAGAGTTGCCTGTGACTTATAGCGACCTGTACAGCCGCTCTGAATCCTGCCTGGTACTGAGCCAGTCTCATTGACTCCAACCCACCTAATCCTATAGCCCCATTTATCATGTCAGTCCATCTCATCCGGAGTCTTCGTCTCCTGTATTGTCTGTCTACCTTTCCAAGCATGATGGCCTTCTCCAATGACTGGCCCCTCCTGGCCACATGCCCAGAGTATGTAAGACGGAGCTTCAAAATCCTAGCCTCCAGGGAGAAACTTGGTTTCACCTTCTCCAGGACAAACTTATCCTGGCTGTCCATGGTATGTTCAAGACTTTTCTCCAGCACCACAACTCAAAGGCATCAATTCTTCTTCTGTCATCCTTATTCATTGTCCGGCTGTCTAATGCATAGCATGTGATTGCAAAGACCATGGATCAGGCACACCTTAGTCTCTAGACTGACATCATTGCTCCCCAGTACTCTGGAGAGGTCCCTGACAGCACACTTTCCCAAGGCAATTCATGTTTTTATTTCCTCACTACTGGTGCCAAGAGTGTTGCTTGTAGAGCCAAGCAAGCGGAAATTGTTACCTCAACCTCTTCTCCATCTATCATGAAGGTGCCAATTGGCCCAGTGGTGAGAGTCTTTGTCTTCTTGATGTTTAGCTTCAATCAACATTGAAGACTACAGTTCTTAATCTTCTGCAGCAAATGCTTCATTCAGGTCCTCCTCAGTTTCAGCAAGCAGGATTGTAGCACGTTCACAACGCGGGTTGCTGATGAGTTTTCTGTCAATCCTGATGCCACACTCCTCCTAAAGTCCGGCCTCCCGGATCATCTGTACCCCGTGCCATCCTCCTGATTTCACCATGCCCAAGCCAATTATTGTAGTCACTATGTCATTCCGTCTCCTTGGGGCTTGTCCTCTGCTTTCCCCAGCATGATGCCTTTTCCAGGGTCTGGGCCTCCTGACTATGACATGTTCAGTGTGTGACATGAAGTTTAGGCAGCCTCACCTCTCACGAGCACTCTGGTTGCACTTCCTCCAAGACCTCTTGTACACGTATTTTGGGTGAACATCATTCAGTTCATGGCACTATGTCAACAAGAGGAGAGTGGAGTTTTGAACTCAGGGCCATGTCCCTAGATTCTAGCTCTGAACCACCATGCCGGCTGTCCCTAAATCATCTCAAAACAACTCCTTGCTATCAAGTAAAAAACAGACTCATAACTGACCCTCCATTATTTTCCAAGGCTGTAAATTACATGGAGGAGACTGTCCATCCTTCTCCCTCAGAGCTGCTGGTGGATTTGAACCACTGGAGATGTGCAGCCTTCAGGCGAGCAGCTCAGCTCCCTACAGACTGTGCCACCAGAGCTCCCTAAACGGTCCCTTCCTGTGATTTCACGTCAAGCTGCTCAGTGTGGGTTTGCTGTGCACGACTATTGTGTCGGGGGTCACTGGCATGGCTGCAGCTGGGCCCAGGACCCCTCATCGGGCATGAGAACCGGAGGCAGGGTTGGGTGGAATGACCCCCCTCCTCCAGCACTCACTCCAAGGTGTGAACAGCCAGTGGAGAGTGCAGAAGGTCAGTGACTGGTCTGTTGTATCAAAGCTGTGTCTCTCACTTACCTCCTGTGCCGCCTTAGACAAATCACTTAACCTCTCTGTGCCTCAGTTTCAATTGCCACATGGACTGCTGTTGGAGATTCTCTGACGTGATGTGTTTGAAGTTCATGGAGAGTACCACACCCAAGGGTTCACTCTCCTCTTGTGCTCTTATGTGTGGTATGGGCACAGCCTGGAGCCCCATGGCCCAGCCTGACCCAGCCTGGACTTGGCTTGCCTTGAGTTTCCTCCCTTGGAGCCTCCAGTCTGCTCCATGGTACCCCTTCCTGGAGGTGGGGGACCCCAGCATGGGGAAGTTGATGCTCAGTGGAATCACAGCTTCCTGGAGGTCAAGTGGCTCCTGTTAATTGCACACCCCTCCCATGAAGAGGCCACATGGCATGTCTGTCCCTCTGTTGATGTAGCTCCTGCCTCTGTTCTGAGCTGCTAGCAGGGAAGGGAAGGGGGGAGTGGGGGGGTGAGGGGACAGAAGTGCAGAAACCTTGTGCTTAGAGTGCAGGGCCAGGTCCTTGCAGTGAATATGTCACTGCTGGGGGAGTCTATCACAGACCCAGTCTCCAAAGCCAGGCAGGCTTCCTGGAGGAAGTGGAACTTGCTGGGCTCTGCCAATGGAGCCGGACAGAGGGGCAGCAAGAGGCCAATGCCGGGCTGGAGGGACCTGGGGGCTGAGGTCCTGTCAGGAGGCCAGCCTGGCTGCAGATATGAGTGGCCGGGATGCCCCTCATGGCACATCACATCGTGGTTGGGGGAGTCTTGAACTGCCCCCACCCGCCCTCTCCCACCTGAAGGGGCCATTCTGAGAGCTGGAAGTCAAAAACGCCAAGGAAAGTGCTCCTCCTTAGCCCTCTGGCCCTGACCCTCATCCCCACCAAGTGGCAGGCCAGGAAAACAAGCCCCTTATCTCAGGCTGCTGGGGCCTGCTGCTGGGAAGTGGGGGGCGGGGCTGCCAGGAGGGAGGATGGGCTGGCGAGGGGGAGCAGCTGGGAGAGTGGTCAGGGAGGGGACAGCAGACAGGGGCCCTGTGTGTCCTAGCCCTGGACGGAGGAGCAGGGAGGTTGGGTAACCCCAGACCTGAGGACTCACCCCAGCCACACAGGCAGCTACCATGCCCCTATCTGTCCCTGCCAAAGCAGGGGAGGGGGACAGGTCACATGGTGACTGGCCGCCAAACCTTCCTGTCCGCTTCAAAGTAGAGCTGTTCCCCTGTGAGCCAGCTCTTCCCTGAGCAGGGAAGGTAGACCTGGCCTCTGCTCGGGGCTGCTGGTCCCTGACCCCCAGTCCTCAGGCCAGCACCCCACAGAGGGGCCAAGTGTGAGGGAGCAGGAAGGTCTCTGTCACGGGACAGGGAGGGCTCCCTGTCCAGCGAGGCATGTTCTGAGAGCCTGTCTAAGCAGGGGCCTGGCCTTGGATGTATAGGCATATGTGTGTGTCAGTGCATACACAGGTATGTATGCAGCCATGTAAATGCATGTCCATATATAAATGTGTGCACATGTGTATTTAAATGTGTGTGTGTGTGAGAGAGAGAGAAAGAGAGAATATATGTGACTGTATGGGGGTGTGTGTGCAGGTGTGTGCGGGTGAGTTCATGTGAGTATGTCTGTGATTATGTGTATGGGGTGTGTGTGTGTGTGTATGGGGTGTGTGCACGTGTGTGTGTACCTCCCTCTGCTTGCATCTGAGAGCGGAGCTCTATCCTATTGGTAAACAGGACAGTCTGTAGCCCAGTGTCCCTGTGGGGTTTGCTGTCCTGAGCCCACCCCACAGCCCTGTCACCATACTGTCCCCTCCTTCCGCTCTCACTGTGATTCTTTAAAGGGCACCCCAACACCCTTGCTTGTTGTCATCACGAGAGGTCAGGGGGTACCTCTCTTGTCTCCTTGCAGGCCCTCCCTGGCCCACCATTCAGCTTCTTCCTCACCTCCTGCCAGGCCTCAGAGCTCTTCCTGGCCCTGGAAGTGCTGCGGGTCTCCTGGTGCCTGGCCTCCCAGGTGGGTTCTGCCACCAGCCCCCTCACTGGGCTGCACATTGGCTGCAGTCTTTGCTGCTAATTCAATGCCTCAGTGTCCAGCCCGTCCACCTCCCTCCGGGGACTCCAGTCCAGGGATCCAGCCCCCATCTCTGCAGCCTTCATCTCACCCCTTACTCCAGCCTGAATGAACGGCTGTTATCCCAGGGGTTTCTGCACGGCCCCTCTCCTGCCTACAAGGTTCAATATCACAATTTCTTGTTTACATTGTCAGTCCCCAGGACTCAGCTGAGACGCTGCTCCCTCCAGGAAGTCCTCAGTCTGAGACACCCTCTTCTCCCTGCAGACACAATGGTGGCCTCCCTCTGACTTTTTCTTGAACTCTGAGCAGGCAGAGCCCAGGCTCTCCTGGCCTTCAGCGTGTGTTCACATGGCAAGCTGGTGCTGGTTGACCCATAACGGGTGCTTGGTAAGGTCCACCCAGCTCCAGGACAGAGAGCACACGTGGTCCATGACCTGCCCCGGTCCCTAAGACACCTGCCTGCTGTCCTGGGAGTCAAGGCACAGCTTGGGAGCTCTCTGCAAGGCAGGACTGGGTTCTCATCCAGGGTGTGAACTTGGAGCTGGAAAAACGGACCAGGGGCCTCCAGGCAGGCCCCTTCCTGAGATGGGAATTGGAGGCAGGCAGGCTGCAAGTGGGAGCGGATGGAGTCCTGGGGGGGTTGCTGCATGGCTGCCCCCAGAATCTGGCTCTGGGTGTGCACGAAGCTGAGCTCATGCAGATTCCTGTAACATGGGCTCTGGCAGGAAGTGAGCCTGGGGTGGCCTGCTGCTGGGAAGCGGGGCTGGCCCCACTGAGATAAAGGAGCAGCAGATTGGAGCTGCAGATAGCAGCAGGGCCTGGTAAACAGGTGAGGGAATGTCTCTTCCATCCCGTCCCAGTCACAGGCTGGTAGGGTTCTACCTGGGTCCCCGGAAAGGCTGGATGAGAGGAAAGGGCAGGGCAGGGTCCACTGGGGTTGCGCTGGGCATCTAACATCAAGGCCATGGTCCTGTGGGGATAGAGGGAAGTGAGGAGACGAGGAGCTCTCTCAACCCGCACTGGATCAGAGCCTTCAACATCAGGACCACCTCAGGCAAATCCCAGGATCCCCAGGCAGTGGGGAAATCAGGATGGAGTA